AGGGGGAAGGGTGTAGGGACAGGGAAAAGGAAGGGGGAAGGGTGTAGGGACAGGGAAAAGGAAGGGGGAAGGGTGTAGGGACAGGGAAAAGGAAGGGGGAAGGGTGTAGGGACAGGGAAAAGGAAGGGGGAAGGGTGTAGGGGCAGGGAAAAGGAAGGGGGAAGGGTGTAGGGACAGGGAAGGGAAGGGGGAAGGGTGATAGGGAAAAGGAAGGGAGTAGGGACAGGGAAATGAGGAGGGACAGACAGAGAAAGAGGGAGGAGAAAGGAAAGGGGTACATGGAAATGGGGAGGGACAGGGGAAGGGAAAAGGAAAGGAGGAAGGGGGGAGGGAAAGAAAAGGGGGAGGGACAACACTCGTCGCCGTGGTGGAGCGGGACACGCTCGTCGTCGTTGACGTGGCCGTCCATTGGCATCGTCGACGTCGTCCGTTGGCGTTGTCGTCTGTTGGCGGCGTTGTCGTCGTCGGCCGTTGGCATCGTCGTCCGTTGGCGTTGTCGTCGTCCGTTGGCTTCGTCGTCGTCGTCTGTTGACGTGGCGGTGGTCCGTTGACGTCGCGGTGGTCGCTCGTCGTCCACTAACGTGCTCGTCGTCTGTTGACGTCGTCGTCGTCCGTTGACGTGGGCGTCCGTTGACGCGGTCGTCGCCCGTTGACGTGGTGGTGGTGTCGTCGTGGGCGTGTCGTTTGTTGGCGTGGCCCTCTGTTGACGTGGTGAGGCGTGTCGTCGTCTGTGGGCGTGGTGGTCATGGTCGTGCGTTGACGTGGTTGTCCCTCGTCGTGTGCCTGGTGTTAGCAGGCTGGGTGGGACGAGCTTGGGATGGGGGGTGCTCACCTATGACGACGAACGACGACTTGCGTCATTCGTCGTCTGGTTACCACGTCGCTGATAGCGACATGGCAACGTGTTGGTGCGCTCGTTTACTGAGGCTGGTGACGTGGCGTTGGGGCGTCGTTTCCGTGTCGTGGTCGTGGTGTTGTGTTGGGGTCGTGGTGAAACGACGACGGACGTCGTCGTTTGTGTGCGTCGTGGTGGCCGTTGGTGACGTGGCGGTGTCGCGAGGTGGGTTGGCGTCGTGGATGATGGTGGTGGTTGAACGTTGAGAGAGTGGGAGTTGTTTGTTGATGACGCCCAAATCAAGCGTCGGCAAACGCCGACACTCGATTTGGGCGTCAGGAATTCCGTTCTGTCTCATTCCGGGATCATTCCTTCCGGGTGATTCCTGGAACCATTCTGGCGGAATTTGAATTCCATCAAAATTCCGCCGGAATGGTTTGATCAATTTGGCAGGGCCCTCTGCCAAATTTGATTCCTCCGGAATTCCAGGAATTGCCCGGATTCCGCCGGATTCCGGCAGGAATCAGTGGAGGACAATAAAGACCTCAAGTTTTAGGCCGATGTAGGAGTTGTCACTTCTGCCATTTCCCAGGTTTTGCCTTTTGACTCCTTGCCCAATTCTCAAGTGTGTGGTAGATTGTTGTGATGCTCAGAAATGGCATAGTATGACGTTCTAAGCATTAAGATTGGACGTTTGTGAAATATTATTGGCTCTACACAACCCACGGTGTCACTCCAGCTATAAATGGAGCAACCAACCTCCAGGGAACACTCGATGATCTATGACACCAAAGCCCAATATCGCCAGAGATCGCCGCCCTTCTCCAAGAGTTCGACAATCTGGAAACGTCTTCGATTTACATGGTTTTACAGCTACGACTGTAAAGCCTCCCGCATATCACCCACACTGGGAGAACCAGGACGGACTCAGACCTCCCACGAATATTTGTATAATGAACTACCAAATGTAGAAAATCAGAAGGTCAGCCCTGTTTCAGCAACAGAATTTGGTCGCTGCGACTGATCTGCTTCAGGTGCTAGCCTTCACTCAATCGCCTCAGATCACGGCTGACGACTTGTCCATAGACACAGGGACCTGTTCTGTTCAATCGGCACTCTTCGATCAATGTTGCAATGCCAACTTAGGATGCCGCGTCACACTAAAGCCATTTGCCTCTCAAGGTTTAGCACCCCAGATCTACAACATATTTATTGTTGCGTTGAACGTTGCTCCAGTCTCTTGTGCTTCTTGCAACTAACACGGCAAAGTTGTCATTCAAGCTTTTCAGGGCAGTATTAGTGCCCAATAAACTTAGCAGGTGCCTGACTGACTCCGATAGTCATAGGCAGAAGATTTGGATCACACTCTTCTGAGGCATTCAAGGGGCGGTATCCACCCAACTTCTTTCATTACCGCTTTGCCTTGTGTGATGAAATTATGATAAAAGGCAAGTCCTCACAGTTTCCAACTCCACAACAAAGCCCTAACATTGACCTATGTCTGACTCGGGCCAGGAACATGTTAACACCTTCGATCGGTGTGTGCCAGATGGCTTACCATCCAGCGAGTTATTCAATGACCAGGAGCAAATTCAGAGGTGGAAAGAGCAGATGGTAAGTTATATATATATGATATATACCATGCCAAGTGAGCTAATTGATTGTCGGGAGATAATGAAGCAGGAGAACATGTTTGGCGACCCCTGTGTAAGTAGAACTTTGGCTACCCATCCTATCTTTTCTTAACTGACTGTATTCGATCAGAGCGGTTACAAGGGGCTCAGTATAGGGTCCACTGCCGTCTTCAAACAAGAGCTTCCAGTGTTGCTCCCTTCAAACGACTCTGAATATTCACAGTGGAGGGCAGTGTACAACGATCTCTGTGACTGCCATAACGCTTACAACAGAGCCACGCACGAAGTCTGCATCCTTCTTTGGGGTTGTTCGCAAGCAGCAGAAGTTTCGCTGCTTCTCAGGGGAATTTTTCCCATAAGCCCAACCACGATTCTGAATGCTGGGTGGAAAATCCTCCTCAGCTCATGTTGGCAGGCACAACTGGTCACGAAAGCCTTCTCCGCGATATCTTCATCGCCATTTTGCCCCGTCGTTCTAGCAAGCGGGTCCCTAGCAGACCCAGAACGTGAGGACGACAAGCTCCGGGTGTATCTAAATATGATCCTCCAATTTCCGGTGAGTTTGTTTCGTTTTGTGCCTTGGAATTTCTTTTTGAAAATTCACTGGCTAGCTCATCCAGCGCCTTGAAGCCTTGGTCCAACGGCTGCGGCACCACTTTACGCATGCTGTTGACAATGCCCAGGCATTTAAGGCTCTAAGACGAGACAACTTCGGTCTCTCCCGAGTGAAGATATTGAACGATCTTCAAGATGCTGGCGCGGGCATCCATGAGCCTCAGTACGATTTCTATGCAGAAAGACGCTGCGAATATTTTGGCTCACGCATCGTCCAACACGGCGTAGTGATTATGCTCCAATCTTATGACACAGTGGACATCGAGGAAGCTATGTCCCTGTATAACGATCAACTCTTACCAATCACCTGTCTGGTGATTCCGTCGATAATGGTATTCTATTAACTAAATGCTTTCAACGTGTCTCTCAAACTTTTTTTTGCAGATGGAATCGGAGCTCCAGTTCCAGCTGGGTAAAAATGGTACTGGCTACCGTTTCATGCCAGAAGGGGCTGAAAACGGCCTTCTCAAGGGAGAGCACGAGGTGTTCCCCATTAGAATCAATCAGCTCACTGACATCAGAATGAATGCGATGTCAGACACCCTCTATTTCTCCATCCAGGTTCGCATGTTAATGCCCCTGCGAGTTGAAGTTCTGGGAGCTTTCAAAACCAAAATACCACTGCTTTCGTTTGTTAAACCTATGCCCTGCTTACCCGAGTTGGAGGGTTCAAGTGAGGGTCAATCCAGCCTGGGGTCGGAGGCTGGATTCAGCGTGGGTGGAGAGTGTGGATCCAGCGTGGGTGGAGAGTGTGGATCCAGCGTGGGTGGATCCAGCCTCGGGTCAGAGCCTAATGCACCATTCGTTGAATCGGACTCGTTGGACGACAGTGGGCCCTTTGTTGAGGAACAGAGCAGTCCCATCGACTCCTCCAGGGGAGCAAGTCATTTCCGACCCCACTAAGTAGTCGACTCTGCCTACTGTACCATTTCGACCGAGTGTTTATGTCACGCATTACAAATAATTTTGAACTGGTAAAATGAGTGTAATAAATGAGATTTTTTTCGCCCCAAGTGCATTTTTGAACAAAAATGACATTCTAGTACAATTTCAGTAGTCCTCCTAAATAGTCCTCCCAGTTGCCCTCACCCATGGTTTGGCCCAGTATTGGCCCAAAAATGTTGGCAAAAACCTCATCTTCGCCTTCAATGGTTATGAGGAGGTCCTCACCACTTCCCAATGTGTTCCCAACCTCCCAAAATTTCCAAGTTTTCAATAAATTTTATGAACACTTCAAGTTTTTGTGATCACTTTCAAGCACAGCCGTCACACATCACACAGGCCTGTGAACACCTGACTCCTGATGAGTAGTGTTGCTGCGGCTTCAGCTTTTAGCTGGTTCAAGCCACAGCCGAGCTGAAATTAAAGCCGAGCCGAGCCGAGCCGATTGATCTGGCTTGGCTACTGCTTGAGCCAGCTAGAGCCGGGATTTTCAGCCTCATCAACCACACATGCTAGCTCATTCGAAACAAATAAAATTGGCTTTTGTCTGTACATATTATTCAACTAGTAATAGAATATACTTTAAATGAACCTAAGATCATAGAAAATAGCTAAGAATTGCCTGAGACAGTGTGACAGAGTCACACACTGAAGGAAAGCAAA